TCTGCATGCACTTTAAAGCTTTGACAGCTAAAACTCCTCATATTCTATTTTTTGGGTTTACACCCAAAGCCAACTGTCAGAAAGTGCATTTTATTTGAGCATTATTTAAAATCGTCCTTGGCGTCCTATTGCGAGTGAACTGTTAAATAAACACAGGGTTATATAAAAACATAAACGTAAACCGGTGGGAAAGAAATCATGTTTGCGTTGGACCTGTGTATTAAAATGACAGTAGTATAATATACACTCTACCTACTTCTGTTTGCTGTTAACATGAATCAAACTACAAAAGCATAAGAATACATTTCTTGCTATAGGCCAGGGAAATCTGGAACAGTGAATTTCAGACACTACATCAGATTTATGTGGATTACATATAAAGGAATTGGTGGATTTTACCATTACTTGCTGGTTGTTTACACACTGTGAACACACATCAGTGTTGAAACACCGTGCAAAAGTGATTTGTCCATAACAGGTTGCCTTTAAAAAGAATGAGAATAATGTGAACTTGGTAAAATGAGTTTAAAGGACTACTAAAAGAGATATTATTTCTGTAACTAGGCTTCAATTTAGCCTTAATTTAAGAGTGTCTGTAAGATATGCACTTCCAGCAGCAGTCAGACGTTCTCTGCATCTGCCAACTTAATTGCGGGTTGTACGACGCACAACCGTGCAAATAAAGAGGGTGGATTTAGAGCCTTAAATCACATCATGTGCTTGAGTTGGGACAACCACTTCCAAGCCCAAAGTACTCCAATCTAGATAAGATAAGGATACGGTCACATCCAGATATCACTGAACAGTGGAGCTCACAAGTCAGCTGGAAATAAACAAACTTCAGTTCTCTCTCTCTCTCTCTCTCACTCTGCAGAAATGCGAAGACACCCGTCCTGTCGTGGTGTTAGTTTCACTTGTGTTATTAAAAGAAACACAACAAAGGTTATCTCTCATGAACCTCTGTTCCAGGAAGTTAAAGTACAGCACTGGAGAGTTATGACTCAGTGCAAACAGCCCGAAACTGTCAGGCTGGCCTTGTTGGGCTACATTCCTACGCATAAAGTAGTTTGGGATTAAACGGGACGTTCTATTTTGAAAGCCGGTCACGAAGAGTGCGATTAAGTTAGCTTAATTCGTGAACTCACGGAGGAGGGAAAGTGCTAATAGAAGATCACAGACTCCTTTCCTCCCTGTGACGCTGTCGTCAGCCCTCTCGTGTCCCTGCTGGAGCCCCTGGGCGACCCTGCGCACTCAGCCATCATTAGATCAAAGACCGTGGGCGCCGCGCTCTTAATATGAGCCTGTAATAGGTGCGCCAGCAGGGCCGCGCTCTGTTCAGCGATGTCACAAAGGTGCTTCATTAAGGGCTCCTCTTCTGGCAGCTTTCATTAAGGAAATTAATGTGGAGGGGCGAGGACAGCCTGCGTTTACGCCGTGAGAGAAAGCCGGCGTGCACAAAGATGAAGCGCACAATAACAAATCTGCATCTCTTTGGAGCGTCGCCCCCAGGGCCTATCATCCCAGCCTTCTTAATCACCATTAAAACAACTTCATTGTGACATTCAGAGCCTGCTGAATGATCACATCCCCGCATAGAGAGCAAATTGCAAATGAAATGTAGAGATCAGACGGCATCAGAGCACAGCCTCTGGGAGGTTGAGCAAATCTTCAATTCTCTTTTATATTGATGTTTATTGGCGGAGGCAGCGGGGAGCAATAACGTCCCTCTCCTTCTTCGTCGCCCCTGCTATTTGAACCCGCTTATTCGCGGCTCGTGTGACATTTTTTACAGCCAACTAGCTGGTACGTGGCATACTCGTTCGCTTCGCCGTTTCGCCGGGGGTTGCCGTCGACCCTACGGCTCCTTATGAAAGGGCTGCGGGAGGTTAGCCGAGCTGTCTTTTTCCTCCTCAGCCTTGCGTAAAATGCCTCCAGGAGAGTATTTTCTCTAAAGCCGACGCTTAGGCTGAAAGTTAGCTGGGAACAAGTGGGAGTGAGGCGGTTCTGTAGCAAAAAGGGAAGGATTGTCTTGTAGCGCTTTCCTCTGATGAGGCTTTACAGGAGTAGCAATTGCCTGAGCAGCCTTATCAGCCCTGGGGGACTAATGCTATTAGCGTTTGTGTGATAAACGCAGCGCAGTGGAACCAATACAGCCAGCTTTGCCGCGTTACTCTGGTAACATGTTGTGTAAATTGTATAATACAGAGCTCTGCGACAGCTCTGTTTAACAACACTTCAATCCTGTAGGGCAGACTTGTGAATAGGATTAGACCTATAAGCTAATAGGGACTTGGAAAGGCCTGCAGTGTCATTGGGATGTCATATGTCAGGTCATGAGTCAATTAGAGAGAGGCTTGTATAATCGAAAAAAACAATCTTAGGTTATTTTATAGAGTGATACTAGAGATTGAAAACAAAACTATCTGTTGGATTAAAAGTAAAGAGAACGTTAAATGCTTGTCATTTTATTTAGCTTTTAAAGACATGCTGATATCAGACTTCAAAAATTGCAAATTGACAGAGTAAAAGTAAGTTTTTGTAAGTAAATGAAGATAGCTTAAATCTAATTAAATCCTAATTAAACATGAAATAAAGATGCTTAAAAGAAAAAAAAAGCAGGGAAATGACAATACTGTGGGGAAAATAAAAAAAAACACTTGTTATAAATGTTTTCTGCTTCAAATAAAAAATATTACTTTGAATTGAAATTTATTTTCATTTAGACTTTAATAAATGGTAACTGTACTGACTGGGGTAATGATGCTGAAACTTCAGCTTTGTAATTACAAATATATAAAAAATATTATTATTTTAATTTTTTTTAAATTAAAAAACATTTAATTGTATTTTTATTGTGTTGTTTCTGTGTGGAGTTTGCGTGTTCTCCCTGTGTTCGTGTAGGTTTCCTCTGGGTACTCCGGTTTGCCCCACAGTCCAAACACATGTAGTACAGGTAAATTGAATGAACTAAATTGGCCGTAATGTATGTGTGTGAAAGAGTGTGTATGGGTGTTACCCAGTATTGGGTTGCGGCTTGAAGGGCATCCGCTGTGTAAAACATATGCTGGATAAGTTGATGGACCCCTGATTAATAAATGGACTAAGCCAACAAGAAAATAAAAGAATAAAAAGCAACAAACCAGCTTTATCTGTGTTCTTTTTGACGATATACAAAACAATTATGAGTGTATTGTTTTGATTGTTCTTATAATGTCCTTGAATTATCAATTTAACTTCCCTATTTATTTATGAATTTTTTTGTATTTTAGAGTTTGTTATATTTCTACAATTTCTGGACTCAAATGTTTGGTTGTTTTGTGTACCCAGTGTGAAGAACCCTATATACCCATACACCTGTATGTAAATTTGGAAACTGCAAAAACTAAATGAGATTTTTTTTTTATTGCAAATAATATTTGATGATATATACTGTCTTTTTCTAAAAAGTTCAATGCATCATTGGTGTGGATTATTATAACTTTTGAGCTGTAGGCCTAGTGTAAATTAAAAAAAATACGCCAGATGCAAATGATATGAGAATTGTTGTTTTAATTTTAAGAGGAAATATTGGTTGCACGCCAACTTCATGTTAAATGTTTTTATATATTGGTTTTCATAGACCCTTTTCACATTTCCGGGTTTCTCAGCAGCAGAAGTTGTCATAGCTGGGTTAACTTAGAATGCAGTGAATCGGACAGAACAACATTTTTTTTTTTTACAATCCTATGTGCTTAAGTAATAAAAGAAAAACTCCTTATTGGTGTTGTCAAGACTAGTATTAGACTGATGACAGAAGTCAGAGGAAAGAATAACGTCAAATTCACTCTCAACCGAATAGACGCTGCATTAGAAACACTTTGTTTTTTGTAATTTGACGTACACACAATATACTACATTCATAAATGCATATAAATTTTTATACATTTAAAAAAATCGAAATATTAAAAACTTTTAAGGATTCACGATTATAATGACCATTAAACACTTCATAACAGTCTTGTGAAAAGTGTCCGTTGTAGTTTAATGTAAGTTTGACTCTTTATTTGGTTTTAGTATTGGTTTGCATTGTTAAGGTTAATTGTATATTTGTTTTTTTAATTTGTTGGATCACAGGAAATACAGAAATCTGAATGAAGAAATATAATAAACTTGTGCTTCCCGGCATGAGCACCAAGGCTCAAATTGTACACTTACTGCTAGGCAGAAACTCTTGAGGGTTTTTGTCTCAAACACTAAAGGTCATGTACCATGTTTACCTCATTGTTTTTCCAGGGTCTCCAGAGCGTTGCAAGGGCAGCCGCTCATTGTGTCCTCGAGAGATTTAAATAATGTCCAACCTCGACGGAATTCATTGTAAGAACACTGTGAAATTCAGTGAATCAAAACACAAAAGGCAATAAAAGGCGAATTATCCCGAACAAATGGAATTTAGCTGAGACTGGGCACTGGCTGAGGACTGTAAAAGTGAGGAATGCCATTCTGGCAGGTGCAAAAAGAACTGAAACGAAGAGCAGCAGAAGAAGAAGAGCATAAACAGCTCAGCCTGTCCCCTTACATTCCTGCCGCCTCCCTGCTTTCTACTTCAAACCCCGCTGGTTTAATCAGCTACAACTGTTATGCTTTCCCCACTATTCGGTTAAACTTATCCACTCCACAGAAAGATCCCCCACCACTCAGTTACCATAGCAATGTGACTGCAACAGCCCTTTGGATTCAAATTCTGCATCTGAGAGATAGGAGGTCATTGCCAAGGGCGAATTCATTTCACACTGAGCAACATCGAAAGCCGCCAGAGAGAACGGCATTCTATTCTTAAGATGACCTTGTTTGAGGCTATTCACTAATGTTTACAGAGGAAATCTATCAACATCATTCCAACTGTAAATAACCAAAAGGGTTTCTGGGGGTTGTTTGATTTCTTTTTAACACGAGACGCTCTTGATCTAAAAGCTTGGATTATCGAAATCTAATTCTGAATACATGAAAACTGACCCACGCACCTTTGGCCATTACAGTTCCTTCTTTGCCTTGGGTGAAGACAACAATCCTCTGCCTTTTCTTGTTCTCTTTGGGTAAGCTTTGGGCCTTCTTCGCAATCTCCTCGATGTCTTCGGTCTACACAAGAAGAGATGGAAAAAAAGATATAAAACACATACTTGAGGGGAAGAAGCAAGTATTAAGTTATTGTAGAGTAGATCAAATTAGATTCTCTCTAATGTTGAACCTTGTAAAACAAGATCCTGAGTCATTATCTTACCTCCTGAGAATGTTTAGTGACTGCAATTACTAACTACTGTACAACTCACTCAGAATTGCTGTTGTGTTGAAACGCTAAATGTCATGTGGAAACACATCACACATGGCTCACTTCATTGCAAAGAAATGTTTAAATGCTAACAAGATATTAAAATGATCCATGCATCACTCACTGGCTTTAAAGCTTTTCGTCTGGCTTTCAAACGGGTATATTTACAACACTGAAAATTATTTTCTTCCAAGAAAAGTTGAGCATTCTAGCAGCTAGCTAAGGGGCCGATCACACTGAATGCACTTTTATGTTTCCAAACACACGAGGCGCACCACACTTCCTTTTTTTGTTGACAAGAAAAAAAGAAGCACGGTGCGCTTCTTTATGCCGCTAGGCAACAGCTGGATCAGTTGGGTATTGTTCGAGAGTGTTGCTGTTGATAATAATTTTAATAATTAGTAATATTGTTATATTTATGATTTGTGAAGTCATACAGCTCTGGATAACCCAAAACACCAACCACAAGTGTCTCCGTTGTTGTCTTGACAACACAAACACTGCAGGGACCTCAATAGAAGCCCCGCCTCTGCTTTCTTTTGATTGGAGAATGAAACAGACGCAAGTGACGTAACACGCTTTTTCCGCTCAGAGTTGACTTTTTTCAACTAAGAGCGCACAAGACCAAAAACGCAAGGCGCAGCAGACGAATAAAACACGAGGCACGCAGGCCGCTTAAGCAGTGCGCAAAACGCTCGCGGCCGTTAGTAAACCATTCAAAAGAGGTGCCTCTCAACGCATAAAGTGCATTCGCTGTGATCAGTCCCTAATGCTTGAAGAAATGATTTGAAGTATAGCAAAACAGAGGATGAGTTTTTCTAAAATATAAGGTGTGATAAAGGGATTGAGATCTTCGGAGATGATACTGTACATGAAATCTATATCATTTAAACGCATCCTTATAAAAAATTGAGGCAGGCATTCAATCTGAATTTCACAATTCAGTAATACAGCTGGTATTGGAGATGACGTGAATAGGTTTACTACTAGGGGTGTCACGATTTCGATTTTTAATCGAAATCGATCGAAATTTATGCTCAATTTCAATTATTGAATCAAAAAATAGAATCGTCAATGCTGCCACGCCCCCATGTCACGTCAGCTTGGCTTGCCAAGCGGAACAAAACAGGCTTGTTGAAGTGCTTGTTAAACTGCAGAAGCAGGAGACCCGTCGACAGAACTTAAACCCTCTCCTCTTTCAATGAAGTCGCCGGTGTGTAAGCATTTTGGATTTCCAGTGAGTTATGTTGACAACGTTCGTGTTGTCGACAAAAAAAACACAGTTTTGCAAGCTCTGCTATGTACGTATTACGTACAGTTCGTCCGATAGACAACACCGGTATTGCGATCCTCTGCCCGCCCCCGTTGCAAATCCGCTCGCGAAATGTACACACTCAGGCCCTGTTTACACTGTCTTTGTTTTTAAATGGCATTTTAGAACGACAACGATTTGACATCCACAGTGAGGTGTAGCATTTCTGAGCAGCCCTCCTTCATCTCTACCTCTGAAAACGCACATCACGTGACCACACAGACACAGACGCACACACATTGTCATGTGCTCGAGACAGCAGGTCCAGGCAGTCAGAGGACTGCTTCAATCTTTCACTCACTTGTACTTAGTCATTTTAGCGAACACCTCGGATACTGTTGGCTGGTTCCTGTTGGTTGTGCGTCTTTTTTACCGACTCCATTATAACGACACAGATCACTGCCTATTCACGAGTCCCGCAGAAAAAGTGAATGACAGGTGGTAATTATGTATGTATCTTGCCTTTATTCATTTACTGTATGATTTGTTTATGGGTAAAACAAAGACCATGCAGGTCAGGTAGTTTAAACGGTAGGCTACAAATAATTAATTGGTCATTAATTAATTAATTATTCATAATCGAAAATCGAATCAAATCGTGCCTTTAGAATCGAAAATGTAATTGAATGGAGGATTTGGAGGATCGTGACACCCTTATTTACTACAGAATATGCACAGACTGACTTAAATATAATATATTTTATAGGTCATCAACAGAGTTGGGTGTAACGCGTTCCACAGTAACCTGTTACTGTTTTCTAATGACATATTTCAGGAACGCAGTAATGTAACAAATTAAAGTTTAAATTAGTGTAATTTGATTACAGTTACAAATGTCAGTGTAACTGCGACACTTATGTAACAAATATCGTTTTTAGAAGAAAAAAATGCTTTTTTAAAATAACGTTTTCTACTGCAACGTTAGTTAATAAGCATGCGCTTTATAATAGCTGGAGAATGCGAGCTGAAATGGGTGCTGACGAGAGTGGTTGCTTTAAGTGGAAATACAGACATTACTTTGATTTCATTGAGCGTAAAAACAAAAATATTGCTGTAGTCTAGTCTACTGATGTAGACTCTAAAGAACTTTAGATTGCTTTTAACTTGACTAGCAACTTGTTCAAGCACTTGAACAAAGCATACTAGACAACATTCGTCACCAAGGAGGACGCCGGCTCCCAAAAATACAGTGGTCCAACTCAGCCTAAACAGGCTAAATTAATTTTTTGTGTGTGAAGGTATCTTCTGAATGTGTAGAGAGTAGCTGCTTATGGGGCCGTTCACATATCGCGTCTTTTGCACGCACAACTTTGTTATTTCCAATACAGGCACGCGACTTGCACACATATATTTGGAGTGCATATTGCGCACGCTCACATTTTCACTAGACAAGAACTGACCGATTAGCTTCATGCTTTGTATGGAATTAGTCACATTTCGGTAGACTAATTACTCAGACAAATACAGAACACCCAAACACTGCAGTGCTTTTGCATTCTATGGATGTCAATGGTTACAGGTGTCCAGTTTTCTTCGCAAACAGGTTTGCAACAAGTGAATGATAAAGGAATTTCATGTTTTAGGTGAACTTTAAGTCTTTTGAATATGTCAAGCTGCTTTGATCAACCCATTGTAATGTTTTTCAGTGATTATTAAATTACTGAAAGAGCTGCAGTTTTATTTTGTATTTATATAGGTATATTTGATATGTTTAAAAAGTAATTTTGAAGTAATTAGCAATCTGATAACTTTTTACATTTAGTAATAAGTAATGTAATCAGATTTACAATTTTCCAGTAGTGGTCAGTCATTCATCATCTATTACTTTTTTAACGTAACCTACCAACACTGGTCGTCAAGAAGTAAAAAAGTGTACTGTATACTTGTTAAGTTGTTGATTCATTACTAAAAACCAACTAAGAACAGCCATTCATTTGTGAATAACACTGGTTGCACTGTTTGTATTTTGATTCACAAAGAAAAGTCATTTGTTTTGGCATTAGAACATGTCAGAAACAAACATGTTTTTTATTCACTTATAATTAGCTTAAAAGAGTCATTCATTCAGGAATCAGACTACACTGGTTGTCCTGTATGTTTTTAATTCTCTCTCTAAACCAATTATTCTTTTAGGAAATTAAACTACACTGTCACCCTGCATGTTTCACACTGTAGATTATTAATCCATGTTGCTCAAAAGTATCTGAGGAAATACATTTGGAATGCTTCTGAACTTCTGCATTTGGTGAACAAATAATTAACTTAACTGAACACTGCTCGATGGTTCTCATTTTTTAATAAAGTAGTATAAGCCCAAACTACATCTCCAATATTACAAGTCTCATAAGAACATACATGATTGTTTATGTTGAGCTTGACTTTAATAGCTTCCAATGAGTTCAGAAAGAATTACACTGGTAAAATACACCTATAGCAGCAAGGCTGTACAGTATATGTTAAAAAACGTGCGCCTCCTGTTCTGACCTTTCTTCTATTGCACAGCTTACTTGTTTGTCCAGAACAGTCTGCTGTTTAAGTGGACTCCAAGCAACCTGTAGGACTACACCACCTCCACGCTCTCTCCCTGGAGCCTCGCAAACTTCTGCCTGCTGGTAAAATAGTCTATGATTTAGGAGATTGTGGAGGCGTACACCGGTATCGCGCTGAGCTTGTTACAGAGTCATAGAGGCATGTTGAGGGCACCGGTGGAGTCAAAGAACATGGTCCAGTATGGTGTGCCATCTTTGACCAGGTGGGAGTGGGCTCTGTAATGCAAGTAGATCAGAGTGCTGTCCACATCCACAGAGGGTTCGTGGGTATTTTGGAAACCAAAAGTATAAATTCTACTGCATTAAACAAGAGTTTTTTCCCCCCCGCTAGTAATATCTACATAAAAACTAACTTCATCAAGTTATTTTAGTAATTTCCTTAAAGCAGCTAATCTTTTAGGTGATTTTTTCCATTGGTGTAAATTGGTGTAAAGACTGCTTTAACTGTCTTTTAATATGACCCACTAAGATTTGAAAAATATCCAAATAGATAGTTGTTCAAGGATATTTATTGGTTATTTAAATAGCCCCTTTTATGCATTTAAATAGGTCATAAGGTTTTGGGGGTCTCCAACAACAGGCAATTATGCATGCAAGGGCAAATAACACTTTCTTTGACTTATAATATCCATTTATTTTTACCTAATTATCCTAACAACTCCAATATGATTCGTTCAGCGATTCCTTTGTTCCCAAACCCCTCTATAGCGTGATGCTAATCTGCGCTGATTGGTCTGATGACCCAGTCTGTTGCAATTGGTTGACTGCGTTCAGAGTGAGACAGAGTGAATTGCCCACCATGGCTTATAAACAATTTTGAAGTAATCAGAGTGCAGAGTGTTTGTGTGAGCCCAATGCAGGAGTGCATTAAAGGAATGCAGTTTAACACCAGTATATTGCTCATTCTTAACCATGACACACATTCAGTATTAATCCACACAGCCGCAAA